CGTAAAAACACCTTGGGTCATTCTACCAGCCCTTTTTTTGTGTGTAAAGGGTGTTTTTGAGATAGGGTCTTGAGAACTATTTGCCTGGGCTGGCTTTGAACCACAGTCCTTCTCATCTCTGCCTCCTGAGCAGCTAGGATTACAGGTGTGAGCCCAGCTCCTGGCCCTTATGATTTTCTTATTCATCACTAGCACATATTGGATAAGAACTGGAGGATATATTTTTGTTCTGTTTTGAGATGGTCTCACTATACATAATGAATTAACAATCTTCTTGCCTCAGCCTGCAGAGGGTTTAGGAATGTGCCATCATGCCTGGCTGAAGGTGGAATTTCTTTCTTTTGTTTTTGTTTAAAAAAATTTTTTTTTGTTAAGGTGGGGACATTTGAAGTGATACTAGTCAAAAATAAAGATAAGTAAAAAGAATAAAAAGTATCATTAAAACTCTGCTCCCAACTATTAACAAATCTAGTGATAACATTTTAGATTTCTCCTATGTCTACATGTAAGTATGTATGAATTTTACAAAAAGTTCTGGGGATGTGACTCAAGTGGTAGAGCTCTTGGCTAGCAAGCATATAAGCCTCCGAGTTCAAACACCAGTACTGATGGAAAAAAATCTTATTTTACAAAAAGAGATTCTGCTTCAGAAGGTGTTTTGTAACCATTGTATCTTTAACAACAAATCAGGATGGGGAGGTGGCTCAGTGGTAGAATCCTTGTGTAGTACGTAAAAGGCCTTGAATTTGATCCCTAGCACCCCAAATAAAAGGGAAAAAGATGCCAGCAGGGCCATGCTTCCCCAAGGCTCCAGGGCAGAATCTTTCCTTGCTTTTTCAAGCTTTTGGTGTGACGTCTGCCTTCATACTGTCTTTTATGTGTCATTTTCTGTCTATTATAAGGATACTCACTGGATTTAGGGCCCATTCAAATAACATTTAATCTTTTTTTTGTAGTGAAAGTGATATAAAGTTTATTAGAAAAGGAATATACTTTCAATAGACTGAAAGCGGGCTGTCTCTAGAGAGAACAAGGACTTTTTAAAATTTTTTAAGATAGGGTCTCACTGTGCAATGGAGGCTAGACTCAAACTCACAATCCTCCTGCCTCAGTCTTTCCAATGCTGGGATTACAGACATGCATCACCATGATTTCATCTCCATCTTTACCTTAATTACATCTGCAAAGAACCTATTTCCAAATAAGGGTTGCATTTTTTTTTTCCAGTCCTGGGGAATTGAACCCAGGGCCTCCCAAATGCTAAGGCCCATGCTCTCCCACTGAGATACATCTTTAGTCCCAAGGTCATATTCTAAGGTGACAGGAGGGATGTAAATTTTAAGGAGATACCATTCATCCCACTACAGTTTCCAATGTCATTAGGAAAATAAGACTCACATAAAAGTTACAAATCCTATCATAATGCTTATCTTCTTAGATTTCTCTCCACCAGTGTAACAGTTGTGAATATTAAGAATGCAGGAACATATCTCATGTCTAATCTGAATTCATTGTGTAAGATGAAAAACCTGACATCTGGCAAGGTGAAAAGACTCGTTCAAAGTCATATGGCCATGAGCAATGGACTGAGCCCTTGTCTTCCACACTTACCTGGAACAGTTGGTGCTTGGGGGTGGGATGGATCCTTTTTCCTTTTTCAGGAATTAGCTTCAGTATATTTAGGATTTTTTTCCCCCCTTGGGTGGTACTGGGATTTGACCTTAGGGCTTCACACTTGCTAAGCAGGTGCTCTACCACTTGAGCCATTCCGCCAGGCCTATGCAGTACAATTAAACAACATTCCCATGCTTTAAAAAAAAAAAAAAAAGCTGGTGGTGGCTCATGTCTATAATCCTTGCTACTCTGCTACTCTGGTATCTTATTTTGGCTCACAGTGTCAAAGGTTTCAGCCCATGGTCAGGTGGCTCTGTTTTTGTGCCTATGGCAAAGCAGATCATGGTGGGGATATAGCAGAGCAAAGTTACTCAGCTCATGGCAGCCAGGAAGCAAAGAGAGAGAGAGAGAGAGAGAGAGAGGAAGGGGCCAGGGTCCTAATAGCCCTTTCAAGTAATGCCACCTATCACCTAATTCCTTTCCATAAGGCCCCACCTCTTAGAAGATTTCATCACCTACCAGTAGCCCATCAGCTACGGACCAAGACTAATACATGAACCTTTGGGTGACCCTTAAGATACAAAGTACACACCTGGAGAACAAAGAAGCCTCATCATTATTTCCAGTAATCTGTCCAGGCTGTCACTAGTTAAGAAAAAAAAAAAATATAGCCACAAATGAGGGAAGTTTATTTTCTTTAAGACAATAGTTGATCATTTGTTTTCTTCCTGTCCATAGCACTAGGGTTGTTAATTGTAGCTCTAAGTACATTAACAAGAAGCACAGTAAACATGTGACTGTAAACTCAGTTAATTAGTATTATTATCCTTTAAAAATTCTTACTTCAGCAATTACACACTAATGAAGGGGAGTGTTCCAATGTGAAACCCAATCCAAAGGGAATCTGAAGGACAGTGCAAACCTGTCTTGGTGAGATGAATCATAAAAGAGCTCAAAGCCCAAACTTGAGCTCAGACCACACCTTTATTTCTGGTAGTTGTATTCCTATTTCTCACATGTATTTCTCTGCAGTACTTTTTGGAGCAGGTGAGGCAGAGGCCAAAGGAGTAAACTAAGAAACCTAAGCTGTGTTCCTGTCTCTTTTTCTTTTGCGGTACTAGGGTTTGAACTCATGGCCTACACCTTCAGCCATTTACCAGCTCCCCCCGCTGCCCCTTTTTGTGATGGGCTTAAGATAGGGTTTGGCAAACTATTTGCCTGGGTTGGCTTTGAACTGTGATCCTCCTGATCTCTGCTCTTGAGTAGTTTTTTTTTTTTTTTTGACAGGGTCTTGTTATTTAGCCCAGACTGGCCTCCCAAGTGCTGGGATTACAGAAATGCACACCCACTGAAATCCAAGATTTCTATTGTCTTTACCAGTGGTTCCAGAATCAGAAGCCCATGTTTCTGCCTTCTCAAAGCCTCCAGGTGTCAGGCACAGTGGCTCATGCTTGTAATCCTAGCTATTTGGGAGGCTGAGATCAGGAAGATCACTGCTGGAGGCCAGCCCAGGCAAATAGTTCTTGAGACTCCATCTCCAAAACAACCAGAGCAAAATGAACTGAAGGTGTGACTCAACTGGTAGAGCTCCTGCTTTGCAAGCAGCAAATATGAGTTCAAACCCCAGTCCCACCAAACACAACAAAAAAACCCTCCATGTATCTCCACACATTAGCACAAAGTGAGATAGGAATTAGCATGGAAAAAAAAAAAGCAATAACATTGAGTGATCCCTCATTTCTACCCCTCATTATTGTCTTCTAGACACAATTCAACTGAAAACGAGGATAAAAACCTTTGAGTCATAGGCTGACTCCTGAGATTGACCTTCAATGCTGTCATGGCCTTGACATCCTGACTTGCTATTTCCAGGTACCTGCAACTAGGAACTGTCTGAATGGTAGCTGGATCAGAGGTCTGGACTAGGAGTAGTCTTAGCTCTACTAGGATCATTCTGGGGCCAGATCAATAACCTGTTAAGAGTAGCAGGGAGGCCTGGAGGCATAGCTCAAGTGGTAGAGTGATTGCCTAGCTTGAGTAAGGCCCTGGGCTCAATCCCCATGACCACAAAAAAAGGAGAAAAAAAGCAGCAGGGAACTGAGCTATTCTGGAAGTCTAAGGTGAGAGGATGACTTAATGAGCTCAGAAGTTTGAAGTCAGTCTGGGCAATATAGCAAGAACTCAAAGTGCCAAGGGACTAGGAGCATAAACGAGGCTTGAGGGCTGGAATTCCTTTTAGTTACAAGGCCATCTGCAAAAGAACTCAAAAGATGATGGGAGGAGCCAGAAGACTACTTGGAATGAGGCATGTAACATGTGACCTGTGAACAAGGAAGTTCTTTCATAGTCTGGGAGAAGGGGCTGCTGGTAGAAAGGGGATACCATAAAGTCCACAAAGTCCTTCTGGAAAAAGGACTAGAAAATCTGGCTGGAAAATGGGAGCACAGCCAAGATTCCATGGAGGCCAGAGGCCCAGGCCAAGTCCACCCCACATCGCCTAAGTCATCTCTCTCTGAGCATGTTCTGTGGAACATTAGTCTAACAGTAATACACAAAAAAATTTGAAAGTAAAAGAAGGTGATGTTTTTGTTTCATTCTACATTTCCCAAAACAGCAGAACTTTGTGCAAACACCAATGCTGTTTATAATTTGATATTCTAAACTCATTTTAGGAAAGGCTAGTTCTATTCCCTGTCTTATACCCTTTGATTATAGAAGTCATTGTGTGAGTCAGATTCTAAACCAAGTCTCCAAGGCAGGTGCAAAGAGCAGCTGTAGCAAACTTGCTCTGGAAAGGAACAAGGGCCATGTGGCAGAGGGGTAGGCACTGCTAGGTTCAGTGACAGCCTTGGTAGGTCTTCCAGAGACGGCAGCATGAGAAGGGTACTATGATTCAGCAACTTACTTTATGTTCAGGTACAGCCCCAATCTGGGTCTGGGAAGGGAATCACCATGTCCTCCCCTTACAAAGAACAGTGAGGATATATAGTTCCAACTGTAAAAAAAAAAAAAGACATCCCAGGGCACTGTGCAGTCCCTTTCAGAGTTACTCTCAGGGCACCATCCACTGAAGCAACTCTTAGTTATGACAGAAGAGTTGGTGACCTGAGTCCGAGCAAGGACTGAGTGAGAATGGTACTTTTTCTCCTCTCCCCATCTTCAGTCGGATTTTTTTTTTTTTTAAGGCACTACACTACTTCTCCTAGAAGTCGTAACCATCCTCTGGATTCCTAGAGCAACTGATCTTGGGCCAGAGCTGGGGAGCAGGAGTAAATAGGTCTTAGTATTTGTATCCCTGCCTTTAATCTTGAGCAATCTCAACACAAACATTTAGGGTCTTTTCCCTGCATCCTCTGGGCTACACATACTCACTCAAGGCACCGTGCACTGGAATAATATTTATTTTTTCCTTGGCAAAAAGTGCTACATTTTTAAAAACAAAAATCTCAAACAATCAAATGCATTACCCATTACAGAAGAGGGTCTGGCAACAGTACAAAACATCCTACTTAAGATTTTTTTTTTAATATACAAGTCAGTTTAAAATGACAGAAGTTCTGTGAGAACTAAGAAACCTACAGCCTGTAGTTTAATAGAAAAAAAAATTAAGACAAAAGATTTATAGCATCCAGCATTTTGCTTAATTCCCTGTTTATAGCACCTATTTCTCTAGGTTAAAAGATGAGAAGCCAGAACCTGTGGTATATGCTGTGTACCGAGTTAGGGTGGGCTTGCTATTTCCCCTCTCCAGCAGCCGTCCACCATCAAAATGCGGGTACTCTCTTTACACTTAGAGAACAGGGGAATGACTGGGAGAGCAACAAAGAAATTGGGGTACAGGAGTAATATGGCTTCCTTTCCCCAGAAGCGGACGTTGCCAGAGAAGGATTGTATGTGCTCAGAGGAAGACTGTGGATGGGGACAGCTGTTTTCTTCAACATGATGCATAAAAAGCAGGGAACAACTGGACATCATAGTCACCTGCAAGTTTAACAACTTCAGACTAAACTAGACAGTTCAAGGAAGGAACAGGAAAATCACTAATTACATCAATGCTGTTAAATACATAATGATGCTGGCTACAGGCAACCCTATCGTCATCCCAGAGCTGAGCCAAGAGTAGGAGAGATGGCTTCAACCCTAAGCCCCACTGCATTGAAAAAACAAATATTCCACACATGAAGCACTCATTACACACAGATAAACCCCCTGCTGATCCCCACACCCCCTAAACTAAACCCAATTTAGAAAACAGCAGCAAAACCCACTGGGGAGACTGGAAGAATGGCAAACGAGAAGTTTCTCCTCAAAGCCAAAGGAACTATGTATGGGAACCTTAGCAGACTTGAGAGACCAAGCCCCAGAGTCCTGAGCTGCCAGACCAGTCTTGTTTGAGGGGAGGGAGAAGGATATTGTGAAGGGGATTCGCTACTAAGTCCTGTGAAGCCTTCTGCAGCCTCCAGAGCTATACCAGATATTTAGAGAAGTGGCTCCTGGCTAAGCAGATGGGAGATTGGGAAGTGGTCAGGACACATACAGTGAGTGTTCTCACTTGGGGGACACACTTGTGGGAAGATAGGTTGATCTGGATCACTTCGGAGTCCTGGCATGGAAAGCCCCAGGCAGCCTGCAATCTAACTCAAAGGTGTTTTCAGTGGTGATTTGTTTCTCTTTTTGTTTTTACTTCCTACAATCATGTTGTTAGACTTTAAAAAAAACAAGACACAAGCTAGTCCCAATGCTGGACTCTGAATAAAGTTGTCTCTTTTATAAATATTTTAATTACAAGTAATCCTCACTCCAGGTAATTTCAGTGACACACAGGCACACAAATTTACACGCACGCGCACACACAAGGCTCCCAAACTTTCACAGAAAGTCTGACAGCTACCACATAATTATAAAGGAGCCCTACCTCTCAAGAGTGAAGTAAGGTGAGAATGACTATGTCATTTAAACCTAAAGAAGCCAGAGAGGGGAGAGTGTGTGTCACTTGAAAAAAAAAAACAAGTAGGGATTTGTAACAATGTTTGGTTGAGAACCAGAAAAAAAAATGACAGTAAAATTCTGATTACAAAAAGAAGAAAAAATGAAAACAAAAACAAAAAACCACTACCATCACAACAAAACACCCTTTGGATTTCTATATAGAGCTTCTTCCTATCGAGTGCTTAAACCACAGGCAAACTGGTGTTCCCACTAAAATAGGAAAACCTTATACACTGGAAAAAATCAAAAGAAGAAACGAAACTGAGGGTAGAAGTTAGTGTAAATCTGCATTTTGGGAGAAAGTTAGTTGTCATTAACTCCAGAGCCCAGCATAGTTTCCATGGAGCCCTGAAGGGAGGGGACCTCCTGCCACAAAGAGTTTCGTTCCTGACGAGTCGTAGCAGTGGGTGTAAACAGCATTGGGGAAGAAATCAATATCCGAAAAGTAATTCCTCCAGGTTTCGTCATGATTCTATGGGAAGAAAAAGACACTATTAGCACTTCTAGGCCATGGGGCAGGAAAGAAGGGATAGGAAAGCTTTCTGGCCTCCTAAGAGGAGAGGGTCCTACACCCGTAACTTAGTGTAAGAACACTGGTCCTCATGAGAATTGGGCTCTTCTCCAACTAAACATTAGAGAGGAACTGAGCAGGCTGAAGAACTGTTGCACAAAGCACAGGCTTTCACAAGGCAGCTGGAACCAAAAGCTGTAATAATCACTGGCACCCATGGCACAAGCTTCCTTATCTTACTTGCTCTAGTTCCACTTACGGGTAAATCTAGGACAACCAGTATATTTTACTAGGCTTCTATATTCCCCTAGGCAGTATGTAGACACAAAAGTAAAATCAAGGGAAAGAGCCTTTCTCTGCTCTAAGAAGTGCCTCTTACTAGTGAAAAAAATGTGGGTAAATAGTGTGTCGGTGGAGGGTAGGTGGGTAGGTAGAAGGAAGACAATTTTTCTATCACTGTCTAGCAGCCATTTCAGGCAGGGGATTACTCACCAGCCAGCCTTTGCCAGTGGTTAGTTTCAGATTTTCCCCTGCTAATCTGGGCTTGGACCCATAACAAGCTGAGAGTCTCTCTTCCAGAAATCTCTGAGCTCGGATATCATAGAACAACAGGGAGCCCTGCCCTGTGCCCACAGTGATGATGTGTTCGTAGAAGCTCACTGACCGGATCCCTGAGAGAGAAAAATAAAGGGCAATGAAGAGGAAAAATATGTGCTTCACAGTCTACTAGCCTGAGCTCCTCCAACACTGAGTTGGTACTCATCCCCAAATATCAGACAGAGCTATTCCAATGTAAGTGGAGCTTGTGTTCACTAGTAAGAACCCTTTGCTAGGCCAGATTCCTGAGAATGCCCAAGATGTTTTTGACCAAAGAACCCAAGTGTGTCTGGAACTTCTTGCCTCCCCTTGAGTCACTATGGAGTCATCTTTCATAACTAAGCTCTTCTCCATTGTATGTTTCTAATGTATACTGAAACTCAGAATTATTTGTGTATTTTATTACTAGGATAGCGTTACAAAAAGTCTTTATCTGGTATTAGGCGTGTTACGAGAGTGGTAAAAAGCTCAGAACTTAAGCATCCCAAAGAGTGAATTTATTGTTGCTGTTGTCTTTGGTGGTACTGGGGTTTGAACTCAGGACTTCGCATTTGCAAAACAGGCATTTTTCGGGTTAAGCCACTCCTCTAGTCCATTTTCCTCTGGTTATTCTGGAGATGAGGTCTCATGAACTATTTGCCTAGGCTGGCCTTGGACTGTGATCCTCCTGATCTCAGCCTCTCAAAGTAGCTGGGATTACAGGAGTGAGCTATCAGCACTTAGCTTATTTTCTTCAGTTTTATTTGAAGTATAATTGTCACAAATTACACTGCACATATTTTAAGTATACAATTTGAGATTTTTTTCATTTATATCTGTATTTCTCCATGATACCATTAACAGTCAAAACAAAAACATATTCTCCATCCCCCCCAAAGTATCCTCATTCTTTGTCAACTCTTCCTTACCCCATCATGCCATTTCTTTTAGTGTAAACAGAATTTTAGTTCAGGCAGAGCCCCAGCAAAAATTTACCACAGGAACTGGGGGTGTGGCTCAAGTGGTCAGAGTGCTTGCATTGCAAGAGGAAAGCTCTGAGGCCAAACTCAGTCCCACCAAAAAAAAAAAATCACCACAGGATAGAAAGTAGGCCTTTATCAAATAACAGAAACTTCTAATACCTTCACTAGTGGTTTATGCCAAAGGTCTCTGTGGTCAAACATTTGTCTGTGGTGTCTGAAACTCTGCTGCTACACACATAGGTATTGAAGATCCTTTCTTTTGTCACCAAATACTTGACGGATCACTGTGTGTGTTTGGAAGCCAACACAGAAACTAGGTATCGAAATGCATCCGCAGTATGCCTATAAGCACGGGCACTTACCACTGCCTCGCTCCCTGGAGCAGACAGATTTGACATTGTATGACGGCTGCCGTGGATCCAGGAAGGAGACATGAGCTTGAGAGCCCACTGCATACACCGACCACTCACTGCCATAGGCCAGGCACACATTCTCACGGCAATATGGCAATTTGGTGGACAGGAGCTGAAAGCAAAGAGGAGAGATGTAGCCAAAGCATCACTAGAGAGCATAAAAAAGGGAAGTTATGATGGTACACAACTGTAATCCTAGTACTTGGAGGCTGTGGCAGGAGGATCTTGAGTTCTAGGTCAAACTGTATTACAAAGTGAGACCCTATCTTGAAAACTAACAAAAACAAAAAAGGGGAGTACTGTTTTTGGACTCCCACTCTGTTGGCTTCCCTCATACTCGAGATAAAGACAAACCCCAGTTAAGAAACTGCCAGGCACCAGTGGCTCCTGCCTCTAATCCTATCTACTTGGGAGGCTGAGATCAGGAGGATCATAGTTTGAGGACAGACAGCCCAGGCAAACACTTCATGAAACTTCCATCTCCAGAATAACCGGAGCAGGGATAGGGTTCTGGCTCAAGTGGTAGAGCACTTGCTTAGCAAATGGAAGGCCTTGAGTTCAAAACCCCAGTACCACAAAAAAAGGAAAACAAAGCAGAATAACCAGAGCAAAATGGACTTGGAGGTATGGGTCAAGCTGTAGAGTGCTTGCTTTGAAAGTACAAATCCCTGAGTTCAAACCCCAGTCACACACAAACCCCAAAAAAAGAAAAAAGAAAAGAATTCCCTGATTAGGAAAAAGATAAATCTGGAATTAAATAATCAGAATAGTAAGAAAGGCCAAGAATTGCAGGTTGTTTCCAGGAATAACCTAGGCACTAAGGTCCCACCCTGTTCTGTGTGCAAGAAGAGCCACCACCCTCCTCTCTGCTCTTCAGATAAAGGGACTGACAGATTCTTCCTTTTACCTTTTTTCCTTCCCTCACTCCCTCCCTCCCTTTCCCTTCTTCCTCCTTCCTTTGTGGTACTGGGGTTTGAACTCAGGGCCTACATCGTGAGTCACTCCATCACATGCCCTTTTTTGTGAAGGTTTTTTCAAGATAGGGTCTCATGAACTATTTGCCCAGGCTGGCTTCGAACCTTGATCCTCCTGATCTCTGCCTACCGTGAGCCCAACTCCTCAGCTGAATGGAAATTGCACACTATAAAAAGAATACTCACAGGACTGGGTCCATACCAAATAACCTGAATCAGCCTTACTCCAGATGCATGTGACTTAGCAAATCTATAGTCAGTGCCTACTGCATGTAAGACACCATGTATGGTCAGTGGAGCTCAAAGTTGCTGTGACATAAAGGAATCAATAATTCCTAGGCCTTCCCTCCACTTAAGAAAAAATCTATCAGTAGAGTAACAAGCAGCAAGGACGTTTTTGGACAAAACATGGATAAATAAGCCACATTGTAGAGAACATAAAGCCTCACTTAACAAGCTGCAAAGTTTGTCTGAACTTTGGGTATAGTGCAATTCAGAATCAGTGAGCTACCAGACTCTGGACTATAGATAAACAGCTGTTGCCAACACCAGGACACCGTCTATATGGACAAGACTGATAAGGCATGTAAACAACATAGTGTCCAGTATGGCTACACTTACGCTAAGATGTGCTACAGCAGCACGCTGGGGTCTCCACTTTTGGGTGTAACCAATCAGCAGAGGACTAAGTGACATCAGAGGGGAACACCCTGGAGGAGAAAATCACATAAAAAGGACATGTGCTGAGGGCACAGCAGAGTGTGCTCTCCAACATCCTCTGACGCTCACGAGCAACATATGCTAGCATTTAGAAACTTTCTCCCTGCATGCGCCTCTCCTTGCCAGAGGGACTCTCTCTCCCGATAAGAGAGGCCTTGCAGTGTGTGATAGTTCTCCCTCCCAAGTGGACTGAGCTCCCAGCACACTCAGTCCAAACGAGCTGACTGCTGACAGCTGGTGGGGCTCCTCTATGGAGTGCTGGCTCTGCCTGACAACAGTCTCAGCATGAACAAACTGATTGCTTGGTGGGGCTCCATCTGTGGAGCACAAGCCTTGCCTGCCATGGTGCCTGTGAGGCGACTGACAGTGTGCTGTGATTCCCTCTTGGACCTCGTAAGTGTATACTAAAGTGTGAATAAATGTTGTTGCACTAACTTGAGTGTCTTTATGGTCTTTGAGGGACACTGCCATGGTTTCATTGCCTCTATTCTAAGTCTGCCTTGGGTCATATCCCAATTCCAACATAGGGATATTGACCCAGGTTCAGGTCATTGCTAACTCCCCCTGGAGTTCAAGACACACATGTAGGTTTAACTCTAAATATGTTGTTTGTAAATACTGTAAATTAAGTCCCTTCTCTCCCTAGGTGTGGTGTTATAACACCTGAAATCCCACTGCTTGGGAGGCTGAGGCAGGAGAATTTCAAGTTCAAGACCAGCTTGGGTTACACTGCAAGACCTTGTCTCAGAAAAAAGAAAAAAAAAAAAAAAAAACCCCAAGCCAACCCAAAAAAATTTATTTATTTATTTATTTATTTATTTATTTATTTTTGGCATACTGGGGTTTGAACTCAGGGCCTCATGCTTGCAGGTGGCTCTACCATTTGAGCCATGCCTCCAGTCCTTTTTTTGGGTTGGGTATTTTTCAAGTTGAGGGTGTCCTGATCTATTTTCCTGGGTTGGCTTGGAAACATAATCCTCCTGATCTGCTTCCTGAGTAGCTATTACAGGTATGAGCCATAGGCACCCAGCAAAAAACATTTTCTAATTATCTTACATGATTATTTCAGAGATGGTACCTTTTGACTGTTGCTAGTAGTTCCTAACTTTGATTTCTCCTGTCTCTACAACATGCCAAGTAGTGAATAATCTATAAACAAATGCTTAAATACTCTGTGCACTGGAGGACTGTTAAAGGAGCTTCTGAGGAAGCCCCTGCAATCTGAAAAGCATCACCTCTTCAGATCTCTTTAAAAGACTTTCCGTCAAGAGAAGCAGACCAGATGCAGAATTTCATACACTACACAAAATAACATGCCCAGACCTTTACAGAACAATGGCAAAACTTGAGGAGAAACTCACCATTTTAACCAGATGGTGAATTATCAGGTAAAATACTAAGTCATGTTCACCATACCTTAGACAGTGTATTTTCAGCCTTCCAGAGATGAAAGTAGCCATCCAGAGATACTGCTCCCAGTTCCTACAAAATAAAAAACAGGTTTTAGTTCAATCTATAGTAACTAAGGTATCACAATAAACAGGGGAAGACCCTGAAGGAGGGAGTCCTTTTACTCTCTCTTCCTATCCCATCATGACCCCAAGAAAGGCACCAGTAATTATCAGCCCCACCTCACCCTATGGACTATAGCTGAACAGCATATTAAACTGAAAGTAGCAAGTCCAGACTGTAGCAAAAACAGAAACCCATGGTTCAAAAAGTCCTTAATATGCCATCATTCCCCTGATATACTACTGGATTGTTAAAGCACACAAGTGAAGGGCAGTTTTCCTAAGTCTCAGTGTGAGAGCTGTAAGTGGAGACAAACATCTACTTCTAGACAAGAAATGTGGATGGCAGTAGGAGGCTAAAGGAACAAACCTCCAGACTGTGGCCTTGTTCAGATTCTACAGAAGCCTTTGTTTTTTTCTGGCTCTGGGTCTACTTTCTTGTACTCTACTTAAAACTTCAGCATCAGGAGACTTGATGCAATGATTATGTAAGATTTGGTAGCAGTGGGAAAGGAAAGAAGGCAGTGAAGAATGAGAAGGAACTTAATACTTACTTTTAAAGGCAAGTATGAAAATCACACCTGCAAAGGCAGGTTCAATGAGGAATAGTCAAGTCAGAGTGGCCCTCGGAAACTGTGAGGGTGACCCACAAATATTTCCACCCAAGAGAAACACTACAGAGATCAATCCAAGGGTAAATTTCACAGCCTCAGTGTTACAATTTCTCGCCAGCATTCCTTAGGTCTTTAAATGGTGCTCTATGGGTTCAGAACCAAGCTATGCAGCAAGCGCACCATAGGGAAGTAGAAATGGGAATGAACCTCAAAACAGAAGCCAAGAGAACAGGCTTCAGTGTGTTCATACCTTGTTCTTGTTGTTGAAGGCTAGAGCCCGGACCTTGCAGTTGTCAGGGTTTGTGTCCTCCTTGGGGATGTCCTTTAAGGCCTTGTGAGTGATGTGAGCATACACAGGGACTCTTGACACATTATGCCTTGCATCACTTTTGGTCAACACATCATCTGTCACCTCCCAGAGTCCCATAGAACCATCTCGAGAGCCTGCAGGGAAGAGAGAACACAGACATCAACCCTCTATGGGACAATCCCACAGAAGACATCAAGATGGGCTTTTCTTAGTTCACAGCACCATCCTCATATACTGAAGGTTGGCCAGGTGGCTCACTTCAAACACAGAGCTATATAGTTACACTAAGATGACAATTCGACTAAGACAAAAGAGTTAAAATATAGCCTTTAAAAGCTTAGCACGGTTAGTGGGACTTTTAAAGAGAATTTTGACACACAGTTTGATAATCCAGGTAATTTTCCAAGTTAAATGCTTAGGCCACTTGGCATGTACAATACCTGACTTCCAATGGGCAGTATGGTTTGGAAACCTGTGCATTAGATCAAAGGTTTTTAGCTATTTTTAAGCCTTGGATTCCTCTTAGAGACTTAGAAATGTCAAACATCTCTCTCTTCTCTCTTTTCTTCTGAGGTACGTTCTCACTACGTAGCCCAGCTTGGCAAGGAACTCACAAATCTGTTTCAGCCTCCCAAGTGCTGGGATTATAGGTGTCCACCAGCATCCCAGTTTAGACTTTTCTAGAAATTCTAAATAAATTTTACATTCAATTTCAGAGAGGTCATGGGCCTCCTTAAAGTTTTCCATGAACTCACAGTAACTATGATTCCCTTATTAAGACAGACTGTTATTGGACTGGGGGTGTAGCTCAGTGGTAGATCACCTGGTTAACATACAGATTGTCCTAAGTTCAATTCCAAGCACCACACACACACACACAGAGAAACATCATATTCCTTAGCAACCAATAATGAAGCACTTTTAAAAAAACAAGTATATACGGGGTGAATTTGATCAAAGAACATTATATATATGTATATAATTATAATTAATTTATGCTAGTAAAAACAAAAATACTTTTCTTCGAATTGAGCCCTGAATACATTGCTTGTGACAAGCTAAACATGGTATCATCTTTCTAGAGTACAACTGGACAATCTGAAGCAAAACCCTCAATGTTTATATTCTCACCTAAGAACAAGTCCACTACCATAAGACTGATATATAAAGATGTTTATTTAGAAGAATCTTTATGCATAACAACAGCGTTAAGTCATAACTATAAAACAGAATATTGCTGGGCATTGGGACGCACATCTGTAATCCCAGCATTGGGGAGGCTAAAGCAGGAGGACTGTGAATTCAAGGCCACTCTGGGCTACAATTGGAGACCCTGTTTCCAAATACCAAAAAAAGGATTGGAAGTATGGCTCAAGTAGCAGAGCACCTGCCTAGTTAACCGTGAGGCCTAAATTCAAACTCCAGTACTCCCAAAACCAAACCAAACAAACAAAAAACTGGGGCATGATGGCTCATGCCTATTTAGTTACTTGGGAGGCTAAGATCAGGAGGATGAATGTTTGAGGCCAGCCTGGGCAAGTAGTTCTCAAGACCCCATCTCCAAAATAAGCAGAGCAAAGTGGACTGGAGGTGTGGCTCAAACAGTAGAGCGCCTGCTTTGCAAGCATGAAGCCCAGAGTTCAAACCTCAATCCCACCAAAAAAAAAAAAAAAAATCAAGAATCACAAAAAAAAGTATTAAAATTGCTTTCCTGGTAAAATTATTTGACAACTTTCCTTTGAGATCAGAAGATGCCTTTCCCACACTGCAAATCCTTGAATGAATTAAAGTAAAAACTACCTGAGATGGGAGAGACAGCATCTAATTTGTTTACATAAGGTTTATAGAAAGGGATTCAAAACAGAAGGTTCATCATGTGTGGAAATCTAGAAAAGGCCAAAGAGAGGAGGATTATGTAGTACAGGAGTGGAAGCTATAAGAGAGAAAGCTAGACAGGTGAGCAGAGGCCTTGTATGCTCTACTACAAAATTTACAGTTCATCATACAGATACTACAAAGTTACTCAAAAGATTTAAGCATAAGGGTGAAATAATCAGATAACTATGTTTAGAGTCTTATTATTACTTGGGAGGCTGACGCAAGAAGACCACAAGTTTGAGATCAGCCTGGGCTACATAGTATGAGGCCAGCATGGGATGCATAGTGAAACCCTGTATCAAAAGTTAAATAAATAGCTGGCCAACCGATGGCTGGCTCATGCCTGTAATCCTAGCTATTCAGGAAGCAGAGATCAGGAGGATCACAATTTGAAGCCAGCCTAAATAGTTTGCAAGACCCTATCTCGAAACTACCCAACACACAACAGGGATGGCAGAGTGGCTGAAGTGGTAGAGTACTTTCCTTGCAAGTGTTAGGCCCTGAATTCAAACCCTAGTATTACAAAAAAATTAAAGATTATTGTTACTTTCTAGTGTTGGAGATTAAACCCAGGGCTTTGTGTGTGCCAGGCAAGTGTATTACCTGCAACAATAGAAGATTATCATCATTAATTTATTAAAAAAATTTTTTTTGGTGGCACTGGAGTTTGAATTCAGGGTCTCATATTTGCTAGGCAAGACCTCTTACTGCTTGAGTGACTCCACCAGCCCTTTATTGTGATGGGGTTTTTCGAGATAAGAGTCTCACGAATTATTTTCCCAGGGCTGGCTTTGAACTGTGATCCTCATTATTTTTGTCTCTAGAGTAGCTAAGATTACAGGTATAAGCCACTGGCATTCGGCTATTATTATTTTTAATGCTTTATTTTGTGGTACTGGTGTTGTTTGAACTCAGGGTCTTGTACTCACTGGGAAGGTGCTCTACCACTTGAACCACTCCATCAGCTAGATTATTTTGTATATGATGTCATCTTTCCTCCTCAAAGTTTTACTTTTTATTTATTTATTTTTTGCAGTACTGGGGCTTGAACTCAGGGCCTACACCTTGAGTCACTCCACCAGCCCTTTTTTGTGTTTGATATTTTCAAGATAAGACTCTTGGCTCAAAGTTGTATTATGGAAAAATTTTGAGCCAGGCATGGTGGTACACGCCTGTAATTCTTGCTAATCATGAGACTGAGGCAAGAGGATCACAAGTTTAAGGCCAGCTGGCAACTTAGCAAGACCCTGTCTCAAAATAAAATAACAAAAGGACTAGGGATGTAGCACAGTGGTAGAGTACCTGCCTACCATGCACAGGCTCTGGGTTTAATCTCCAGCATAGTAAAATAAAAAAAATAAATAAATAAAAAATAAAAAAAGAAAGAAAAATTGAGGGCTGAGAGCATAGCTCAGTGGTAGAGCCCTTGAATAGTATGTGTAAGGCCCTGGGTTCAATTTGCAGCACCACCCCGACAAGTAAATAAATAAAATCAAGCATATTGAAATGCTGAGTTTTACTATAGTTATGTATATATGTACACTTATATTATACTTGCCTTATCATATATTTGTCCATATATCCATTCCTCTATTTGATCCTTATGCAAAAAAAAAATGTGCCAAAAAAAGGATATATTTTAATATGTTCACAGTGAGTTATCTCAAGATCCTCCTGCCTCAGCCTGCTGTCATTACAATTGTGTATTATCACACCCAGTTGAACATGTCTCGTTATTAGATTTATTTTCAAAAGAAGAAATATTTATTTATGTTCCCTTAGCTTTGTAGCTTTGTAATCAGCAGTTCTAAGCACAGGCTCTGAAATCAGACAGACTTGAATTAAGATCATGGCTCCATCTCTCAGAATGTTGTGTGACCACTGGCAATTTTAACCTCTTAAAATCTGAATGTTATCTATCATCTATGAAATGAGGCTAATAATGCAAACCTTTTGGTATTCTGAGGATTATATAAGACAACATATGTACTTAGTTTAATGACTATAATGATGATTTCTCTCTGTAATCTGAAATAAAGGGGACTGTATTTATGGGTACACAGCAAGCATTTGTGATTCTCAAGGTTAATTTCTCTACATTTTTCCCCCCTTGGAGACATAAGTCTCCCTGTGTAGTCAAGGCTGGCCACAACCTTGTATCCTCCTTCCTCAGCCTCCTGAATGCTGAGATTACAGACATGCACCACTATGCCCAAATTAAAAAAAAGTTTTGTTTATTGATTTATTTGCTTACTTACTTAATGTATTTAGTGCTGTAGACAGTATTCAGAGCTTCATGCATGTTAGGCAAGCACTGTACCACTGAGCTACTTCCTCAGCCCCTTACAACTTTTTATATACATACACAGATAGATATGGCGATGGTCCTGGGGTCTGAACTCAGGACCTCACACTTGCCAGGTAGGCTCTTTACTACCTGAACCATTCCTCCAGCCCTCTTTTGTGTTGGGTATTTTTGAGATATGGTCTCTCTGCCCAGGCTGGCTTGACAGCAATTATCCTGATCGCTGCCTCCCAAGTAGCTAGGATTACGCTACAAAATTGTAAAAGAAATGGTAATTGTTTCTAGTACCTTGAAGAGCAAATCAACGTTTCCAAAACAATTTCAAAACCATTACCTCAATGAAGCTCTACAAAACTGTATCTAACATGCTACCACCCATGGTTTTTAGAAAGAGGCAAAATATGAATAATAAATGAACATGCCAGTACCTCCACTTCACAGATTAGGAATTTAAGATACAAGATAACTTGTTTATGGAAATGAGATCTTATGACCCTAGCCAGCGCTGTTTCTGTTTACTGAGCTGTTTCCTATCACTTTACTATCATCTCTTTTCAACCTCTACCCTTCCCTCCTGCCACAGCAAAAGGCTCTTTTAAAAGAGCAACTTTATTTTCTTTTAAAAATATTTTATTCTGGAATTCTTTAAGATAAACAGAAAAATAACAAAAAGACAGCAGAGGGTTGTTGTGTACCCTTTCTCCACCTTCTCTAAAAAAAGAGGAACTTTATCTGGGCACTGCTGGCTCATACTTGTAATCCTAGCTAGTTGAGAGGCTGAGATTGGGAGGATCACTGTTCAAGACCAGCCCAGGCAAACAGCTCACCAGATCTCATCTCCAAAATAACCACAGCAAAATGGACTAGAGGTGTGGCTCTAGTGATAAAGCATCTGCTCTGCAAGCATAAAGTCCTGAGTTCAAACCCCAATCCCACCACAAAAAAAAAAAAAAAAAAAAAGAGAGAGAGCAACTTTACCAGACACTGCCATAGTATCGTTGATCCATGCAATGGAAAAGATCCAATCCTTGTGTCCATCCTTAGAGAGGAGAGAGTGACAGGCACAGGGAGGAAAAGAGATTAATGAAATAAGGGCTATAATGAACTCTCCTGAAGAGCATTCAGGTCTGACTAAGAGTATCTTTGTAAAATCACAACTGTGATCTGGGCATAGTGGCATATACCTATAATCCCAGCATTTAGGGACCAAGGGCAGGAGGACTGAGTTTGAGGCCACCCTAGGCTATAGAGTGAGACCTTGTCTCAAGAAAAAGAAAACTGGGGCTGGTGGAATGGCTCAAGCAGTAGAGTACCTGCCTAGTAAGCATGACGCCCTGAGTTCAAACCCCAGTCCTACCAAAAAAAAACAAAAAACCAAAAAACACCCTCCAACTGTGGTATTTGATAATCTCAACCCATTGGGTACAATGATCCCACAATCTTTGTTGAAGATCAAAGCTGGAAGAAATTGGACTATTATGGCTAATAAGTATTTCCACAAGATGCATAGCTCTGGCTTTATACTTCTAGTGTCTTATCTGAGACTCCTATATGCTGTCTGGAACATCCTCATGGCTTGCAGCCACATTTCTTTTAAGTTTTCCTGCTCAAACATCATCTTTTCAATGGGGTTTTCTCTGACTATCCTCTGAAATAGCATCTTCTCCCTTACTCTCTTATCTTTTTAGCCCACCATTACTCTTCTTCATGACACATTATCACATTCTGACATATTACTGATAAACAGTTATTGTTTTATATGGTTTATATATTGGCTTACATGCCACCCTGCACTATAATGCAGGCTTTAAAAAGGCAATGGCAAGTCCAGTGTCATGGTGCATGCCTCTAATTCCATCCAGCACTAGGAAGGCTAAGGTAGAAGGATCATGAGTTCAAGGCCAGCCTGAGCTATATATTCAGACCTTATCTCAAAAATCAAAACTAAACAAATAAGAAAGCAAGGGCTTTATCTGGTTCATTCACTACTGTACCCTCAAGGCCAAAAACAACCCTGGCCATAATATTTGGTGAAAGAATTGTTTAATAAACTTGCTCTCTGACTGGGAACTGGGAGACAGGTGGATTCTGTGGATTCAAAAGCAATCCACTGCTATTGTCCCTAGATGTATGGGGCTTATCCCTTTATCAAACACATGCCTTTGGCTGGAGGAATGGTTCAAGTGATAGAGCATCTGCCAAGCAAGCATGAGGCCTTGAGTTCAAACCCCAATACCACCAAAAAAAAAAAAAAAAGAAAAAATTTTTAGCTGGCTAAGTGGTTCAAGTGGTAAGAATACCTGCTTAGCAAGCATGAAGTCCTGAGTTCAGACCCCAGTGCTACAAAAAAAAAAAATGACTTGGCAGAGTGGCTGACTGCCTGTTGGGAGCTCAAACCCCAGCATCACCTAATTAATTAATTAAATTTTAAAAATATGACCTATAGGAATCCAGTTCCAGTTCTGTTATCTCTATCTCACATTTCACACTCATGTCCCTAGATTCAGGAGAGATCTAGAGAAAAACACCCTTCCCAGGAGGGGAGAGGGTCTATGTTTATCTACTGGACCATATTTAAAAGCTACAATTGGGAAAACTTACATCACCCACACACACAGGATCTAGTGTAGGCAGTCGATAGATGGCAAGACTGTTAGGGTTGTCCCCTCCAGTGGCTAGCAATGTTCTAGAGGGATTCAGTTCAATTGCATGGATACCACAGCCCTGCTGGGTCACACCTCCAGGTTCCCGGTCTTTCAGAATGGGGATCTTGGTGATCCGGCTTGTCTGGACATCCACTACAAATAGCTACAAGACAAAAGGGATACACAAAGTGAACCCAGTTTCTGTTTAATGTGGCGAATTACAAACATTCATTTGTTCAATTACCCATCAAATATTTAATTAAAGCCTACTATATGCTAGACCCTGGGAATTATTAAAGGCAGTCAGGGCTACCTGTCAAATGAAACTTCAAAGTTTCGTGGATGGAGGCATGGCTGAAGAATGTCTTCCCAGCAAGCATGAAGCCCTGAGTTCAAACTCCAGTACCACCCCCCCCCCAATAAAAGAATGCATAATGTAATTTTAGAGATAAGTATAACATGCTACACAAACAGATTAAGAAACGGTAAATTGTGCCCAGGCTGGGTACGGTAGCACACATCTGTAATTTTAGCACTCAGGAGGTTGAGGCAGGAGAATTGCAAATTCAAGGCCAGTCTCAGCTACAAAGTGAAATCCTGCCTGAAAAAAAACACCAAAGCCAGGTACTGGTGACTCATGCCTGTAATCCTAGTTACTCAGGAGGCAGAGATCAGGAGGACTGTGGTTTGAAGCTAGGCCGGGCAAATAGTTTGCAAGACCTATCTTGAAAATACCTAGTATAGAGAAAAAAAAAAAAAAAGGGATGGTGGAGTGGCTCAAAGTGTAGGCCCTGATTTCAAGTCCCGGTACCACAAAAAAAAAAAAAAAAAATTCTACCCAGGATTCACTGAAGGCTTCAAAGAGGCCTTATTTTAGGTTATGGACAAAAAGAGCCAGACTAAAACAAAGCTTTCTGTCAGCATGGACATATTTTATACATCTAAGCCTTTATATCCACAAAAACTTTTAAATAAAACACAATTCCCAGAACATTTCACAAACCCTATTAAATATACTCATTAATAACTTATCTAGCATCAGACCATTCTGCCTTTGTTTATGTTGCTGCCTCTGCCTGAAGTACTCTCCTCCATCTCTTTTTTAAGCTAAACTCTTTTTCACCCCCCCCCCCAAGACTCAACACAGAGAATGTTTTATGGAAAAGATCAGTCTTAGAAAAATAGTATCCTTGATAGTCTATTATTAAATGGTTCAATCCTTCATTCACTCATTCATTTGCCAGTACTATTCCATTTACATTTATTTTATTATTTAAAAATAAATGTAACTATGAATAAGAGATAATCTCTGACTTCAAGTACTGTATGGCCTAGGAAAATCAATTAAAATACTGTCAATGCCTGGTACAGTGGCTTGTGCTAGTAATCCCTGCTATGCAGGAGGCTTAAGGCAGCAGAATTGTTTGAGCCCAAGTTCAAGGCTGCTGGTGGAGGGGCTTACATGGTAGAGAGCCTGCCTCTCAAGTATGAGGCCCCTGAGTTCAAACCCCAGTAAAGCCAAAACAAAAACAAAACAAAACAAAAAATCCAAAAAACAAAACCTCAAGACAGCTCAAGACCAGCCTGGGCAAAAACAGCCCGACCACCCCATTCTCCCTGTTTCCCGAAAAAACCTAGCAGCAGTTTTTATGGTGAAGCTAAACCAGGTCAAATCTTTGTATAAGTACTCCTGATGCATGTACAGGATACCTATGAAAGAAGAAACTAGATGAGACTTAAGTTTAAAACATACAAAGGAGTAGCTAGAACAAGAATGCTAGAGACTAAGGAGGAGCAAAGAGAGAAGAGGCCAACCAGCCACAGATCTGACAAGAAGTTAAGAGCACAGACTCCCTGCCTAACTGGCACTATTGTTGATGTGTTCCATGGCATTGTAAACTCAATGTGTCCAAAACAAATGATCTTCCTCCCCAACCTGCTCATTCCCTAATGGTACCACTATCTGCCTTGTCATCCAAGACTTGGTTTCATCTTAAACAACTCTTTCATTTATATCATCTGATACATTAATTAGTAATGCCAAATCTACCTCCTACATAGTCTTCCAGCTAGATCCTTTTCTTATCACATCCTTACTCTTATCACCCCTCCCTTAGACAACAGCAATTGGTCTGTTTTCAGGCATGGCCACCATCAAAATTATTCCCTACTAAGTATAGTTGTTTTTATGCAAATGGAATTTTCCTATGTCAGTCTTCAGTTAGAAAACACCCAGCTTCCCTTTACCTAAACCCAAACTCCTTAGCTGATAGCATTAAGACTTCTCTATTCAGTCCTACCTCTCTCTCTAGCTTCATGTACTGCCATGGATTTATGCTCTAGAAGCAACTTTATTATACATGCAAGCTACTTCATGAAATATATTTTGTTTTATACTCACGTTGTTCACAATGTTTTTCCTGCTCTTTTCTTTACCTGGTCAACAGGTACTTATTTTCAACATTAACCTTAGAACTATCCTTCTGGAATAGTCCCTAAATACCCAGACTGATTAAGTATCTCTCTTGTAGGCTCCCAAGATACCCCTCTACCCAAAACATTTAGACAATATCATACCAATTTAAAATACTAGCTGGATGTGGTGGTACACACCTGCAGTCCAAGTTACTCAGAAATCTAAGTAGGAGGATCATCTGAGCCTAGGAGTTCAAGACCAGTCTGGGCAACATAGCAAGACCATGTCTCAAAAACAAAAATAAGCTAGGCATGGTGGCAGGTGCCTGTAATTCAGCACTTGAGAGTTTGAGGCAGAAAGATTGTGAATTCCAATCCAGTCTGGGGTACACAGACTCCATCGCAAAAAAAAAATAAAAAGAAAAAAAGACCAGGTATAGTGGTTCACACCTGTAATCTTTTTTTTTTTTTTCTCTTTTTTTTTTTCTTTTATTATTCATATGTGCATACAAGGCTTGGTTCATTTCTCCCCCCTGCCCCCACCCCCTCCCTTACCACCCACTCCACCCCCTCCCGCTCCCCCCCCCCAATACCCAGCAGAAACTATTTTCCCCTTATCTCTAATTTTGTTGTAGAGACAGTATAAGCATTAATATCACACCTGTAATCTTAGCTGTTCAGGAGACTAGGAGGATCCTGGTTCAAGGTCAGCTACCCAGGAGGCTTAAATTGGAGGATCACAGTCTAAACTGGGCCTGGCAAAATCTTCAGACCCTATTCTAAAAACAACTAAAGCAAAAAGAGCTAAGAGTATGGCTCAAGTGGTAGAGTGCCTGCCTCTAAAGCATGAGACCCAGAGTTCAAATTCTAGTACTGCCAAAAAAAAAAAAAAAAAAGATACAGCTGAGTGCGAGTGGCTAATGACTGCAATCCTAGCTACTTGAGAAGATGAGTTCAGGAGGATTGCAGTTTGAGGCCAGCCTGGGCAAACAGTCCTTGAGTCTCCATCTCCAAAAATAACCAGAGCAAAACAGACTGGAGGTATGGCTCAAATGGTAGAGTGCAAAGCCCAGGATTTAATCCCCAGTTCCACAGACAAAAAAAGGTACATACATATATATAAAATATTGTTATTTACAAAATAAAAACACATATTTACTAGCTTATCTTTGCATTAGGCTAATGACACCCACCCAACTGCAAGGGCAAGATTATAAAATCTTGCCCTTGCAATCCCCAGCTACCTATACTTACAACTAGCCAGCTTTTAGCAGGTATGCCCAACAACTTTAGGAGGTCCCACCATCCCTGTGTACTTGTTTATCTGATGTAAGCCTAGACTCGCAGATCATAGGACTGTCTAGGGGAATCTTCCGGCTCAGGGACAATCAGTCCGAGGACTAAATTAGACTGAGACATTCAAATTCTCTCAGGAATGTGAAACTGGCTGGTGATACTAGACCAAACTACCTATGTGCCATTTTTAAATAAAATAAATATTTTATTAAAAATATTAAAAAATAAAAAATAAATATTAAAAAAATAAAAGTGAAATAAATATTTATTTTGAAATAAATCCCTAACCAGATAGCCCTTAAAAATTTTATCAAGAGCTGGCATGGTGGCATGCACCTGTCATCTCAGCTACTCAGGAAGCTAAGGCAAGAAGATTGCTTGAGTCAGGTGTTTGAGGTTCGTGCAAAACAACTTTTACTGAAACAAAATTAACTGCCCACTCACATTGTGTGTTGTATATATATGCATTCACTTTAGCTTCTAGACCAGTGATTCCCAAACTGATTACCAAAACCACCTAGGGAATCTTTTTTTTTTTTTTGGCAGTACTGGAGGTTGAAGTCAAGGCCTCTTGCTAGGCAGGCACTGTACCACTTGAGCCAGCATATTTTGTAAGTGCTCTACTACTTGAGCCAGACCTCCAACCTTTTTTTTTTTGTGGTACTGGGGTTTGAATCCAGGGCCTACACCTTGAGCCACTTCACCAGCCCTTTTTTGTGATGGAGTTTTTTTGGGATAGGGTCTTATGAACTATTTACCTGGGCTGGCTTAGAACCTTGATCCTCCTGATCTCTGCCTCTTGAGTAGCTAGGAGAACAGGCATGAGCCACTGGTGCCTGGCCTTTTTGTTGTTGTTTCTTCGAGATAGGGTCTCACCCTGTCAAGGCTGGCCTTGATGTCTTTTTGTGGGAGGCACTGGAGGCTCAAATTAGGGCCTCATGTTTGGTAGACAGACACTCTACCACCGAGTCATGCCCCCTGCCCTTTTTTGCTTTAGTTATTTTGGAATAGGATTGTGAGTTTTTGTCCAGGCTAGTCTGTACAATAATCCTACTTATGCTTCTCGCACAGCTGGAATGACAGGCATGTGCCACTATGCCCAGCTTTATTGGTTGAGATGGGAATCTCCTTAACATTTTCCTTAGGCTAGCCTCAAACTTCAGTCCTCCTGATCTCCTGAATATCTGGGATTACAGATCTCGGCCACTGTGCCCAGTCAGCCTTGAACTCTTGACCCCCCTGCTCCACCTCTTGAATGCTAAGATTATAAGTATGCTCCACCATGCTGGGCTGGGAAATTCCATTAAAACAAACAAAAAATCTCTGCAAAACAAAAACAATTCCTAGGTCCTATTCAATTAGAATTTCATTGTAGCCATCAATATAGAAATGTTTTTTCCAGGGCTGGGGATCAAACTCAGATTCTTGTGCAAATGCACACCACTAAGCTAC